TGGCACGTGGTGTAGGCGTGCTGCATGCTGCATTGCATTGTTGAGGTACACGGGCGAAGATCCCCCTCCCATCCACGCCTCATACCATCCACTATCACCATCACCACTCAACACAACCCACTCAACATCAATGCCACTGCGGCAATCAGGAAGTGCGGAAGGTCAAGTCAATGCAGATGTTCCGGAAACCCGTGGAGGCCGCGCAGCAGGGCGACAGGCTCGGTGCGTTGGTGCGTTGGTGCGTTGGTGCGTCAGCTGGTGGGATGGTGGTGGTGTAGGTGGAGACATTTACTCACATGTTCACGCATACACACACACACACACACACTCTCTCTCTCTTTCACACACATCTTCACGCACACACTTGCAGGCCTGTGCGTGACGCAATTTGACCCAAAGTTAATGGAGAGGGGCGTGGTCTGCTCGCCAGGCGCCATGCCGCCCATGAAACGTAAGATATTCAACACATGCGCATTCCTACCACCCCCTTTGCACTCACCCCTTTCCACCTCACGTCTTTACACATGCTCACGCGTGTGCACCGCTCGTCGTCCCCCCTTTCTCTCGTTACGCGTCCAGTGTTTCTTGCGTCAGTGCAGCGCATTTCGTTTTACCGGCAGGCGATTCGGTCCAGAGACAAATTCCACATCTCCATCGGCCACCAGACCGTCACCGCCTCCATCCTCGCCCTCTTCTCCCCGCTCGACACAACACGTGCGTGTGATGGTGTCTGTGTGTTTGAAGTTGTGGCAGCTGTGTGATGTCGTCGTCGTCGTCGTCGTCGTCGTGATGCTGCTCATCATCGTGCATGGCGTTCGCAATCGCTTCGTTTACACGCGCATCTCCTTTCCTTCTCAACCATGCACTCCACCTCATTGCTCCTCACCCCCCTTCCTTTTCCTTCCCCTTCCTTTTCCTTCCTTCTTCACCCCCTTCCCCCCCCAAAAAACCCCTCAGGCCCAGTGTCCGGCATTGATGATGATGACGACGGCTTCGACTACGATCAGGAGTTTGAGTACAACGACGAATGGGACACATCGACCAACCGCATGGTGCGATGGAGCAGCCCTGCACCTATTGTCATCGTGGTTGGTGGTGTTGGTGTCAATGACGAGGAAAAGGAGCTTTCCCCTATCCCCCATATCATCATGACGTCTCACGATCGCATAACCTGTTTTCTCCACGCATGCCTGCAGCTGTGTGTGCTTGAACTGCAGAGCGAGATTTGCGCGCGGCCAAACTCGCTGTTCATCGGCTCACGACTCGACACGGACATACACGCAAACACGGTCGGTGCTGCGCTGTGGGCAACGTCAAGGGGGTGAAGGGAGAGAGCATGAAGCGGGGTGGAGACAGGCAGAGGGCGAAGACATTGCAGTGGTCACTGTACTTCACGTCTCATTGGAGCAACCGTGCGCAACCATGTGCAAACATGTGTTCACAATCACCCCCGCCCTCCCCAACACACCAAATACACATACACTGCAGTGCCGGCTGGCGTTCTCTGGGCGGGTGCGCCGCTCATGCACAGAACGCGAGAGAGATGAATTCCTCAAACACACGCGCGTGTGCAAACTCAAACACAGGCACGGCGTTGTCGACAGGTGTGACAGCAGTGGTGGTGGTGCTCGCGTGCCGGGTTGTACGAGTCGTTGCTGTGGACTGTGTGTCATGTCACGCGACAACATGTGCGCGTACACATCTGTGTTGCCCCTTGTAACCTGCCACCACCGCCGCCGCCACCACCACCTCACCATTCTCACCACCACCATCACCATCACGACCACCATTGGCAGGATGCAAGATGAGCGGACGCTGGTGTGCGACGGGTTCTTCAAGAAGGGCGCCACGATGGACGCGTTCCTTGGCCGCCGCGTACAGCTGAGCACAGGGGAGGAGGCAGATATCACGGGCGCTTTCGGCAAGAGCGGCAAGTTCAAGGTGGCGGTGGTTGGCGATGGGCTGAAGGACACGACGGTAGCGCGGCTGCAGGCTGCTGCTGACAGGAAGAAGGCGAGGAAGAAGGCTGCCAAGGGCAAGGCGCCAACAGCAACAGTTGCAACAACCCGTGCTGGTGGTGATGGTGGTGGTGATGGAGACGAGGATGAGGGCCCCATTGGGGTGACGCTGACGTTCAAACGGATGGTCTTTGACAAGGAAGCGTCCATGGTCCAATGACACACGCGTGTGTTGTGTTGTGTTGTGTTGTGACGCGTTGTGTTGTGTGTTGTGTTGTGTTGTGTGTGTGCGCGCGCTATTGGCTGGGTTGTAGGGCTGCTGTGTTCATTGTTGTTGTCAATTAATACAAGGACAGAGATGGAGAGAGAAGCTGAACAACAGGGGTTGATGTACACACAGCAATGGCATGCGCACAGCGAGGGAGGCAGGGAGACAGAAAGCGGCCATGTGGATGAGACACAAGAACACCACACATCACAGACACACAGACACACAGACACACACACATACACACACACACACACACACACACACAGACACA